ACATCCCTGAATTCGCGAGATGACAACGATCTGTGCTTACGCATTCTTTGGTTATCGTGATTAAAAAAGATTAAAAATTAAATAATCAATTAAAATCCATTAAAACAAGAATAATCAATTATAATCGATTAAAACTGATTAAAATCAAAAATAATCGAATAAAAGGCAAGAGATCTGATTAAAATTGATTAAAATTGATTAAAAATCAAGGAATCTGATTAAAATCGTCTCATTTTAATCGATTTTTAATCACAAAAAAATCGCTTAAAATCCCGTTTTTTCTTGATTTATTTTCACATGGGATGTGCTAAGAAAGAAAAAAAGTCGACTTTCTAACTTATCTATTTGTTCTTTTTAGTGTTGTTCGGATGAGGTAAAGAGAGTCTCCATTGAATATTTTTATTTGCCTTCGTTTGTGAGAATTGTTTGTTGTTAAAAAAAATCAAACAAATTAAAAAAGTTATTTCATCGATTCCAGATGATTCGTAATTATGTTATTTTAATTGATAATTCTAATGAAAGTCTCTATAAACAAAATGACTAGAGATTTAGCTTATTTATTTTAGAGGACAGTCTCGTTTTCTTTTATGTATCGTTTCTCAATCGACCTGATAGTATCAGGAGTATTCGCTTATCGCATTCTCTATTTCTTTAATAAAGAAACAGCAATACTGAAAACGATGGAGAAGCTCGACTTATGATTATTTTTCATGTGTGAATTGTTTCAAAAAATTCAATTGTTTCTTTAATCGTGTGCAAGATTTACTATCCGTTGATAATATAAAAAACTTATTCCAATTAGGGTTTTTCGTGTGCGAGAATTTACTCTCGGTATTGATTATTTAGTAGAAGAGAAATGATCAATCGTTACGCATGAAATTCCCATAAATTTTCCAAATATTATATAAGATCCGGTAGTGTTACTTATTTGGAAGGCTGCCATTTCTTCTGATTGATTTACTGCAAAAAAAAATGTAACAATCTTTATCATGGATCGGAAGAATACTAGCTGATATGGTAGGCTTCAACAATAAAACGTCGAAAAAAAATCATATCATAAAAGATGAATGCTTAGTGGAATTGTAACAAGGTTATGATCAAGGCCATATTGATCGTTCACCTTTGTTGAAAGCTGCTGGATTGATGAGGATAGTCTTACAACTGATAAGTCGTTTTTAACTCGAGACTATCTGTATTACGTAGATTGGCACGAACTATTCATATCCTCACAAAGAGTTCATCTTCTCAGCTTATTACTACATAGATACTACAGCTTCTATAGTATTTTGCTTTAATGAATGCTTTGATTCTCGTTGATAAACACAAGAAAAACTCATTTTCGAATCTTCGACTTGAAGCATTGCATATCGAATAGAATGTCTTTTTTACATTGATCATATAAATCGGCAAATTTAATGTTCGCATTTGAGGATGGAAGAGTAAGTCAACAAATCTAAAACGTTTGCGCAACAAATTATTTATCTGATGTCCCTCAAAAGAGAGCACAACTTTCACTTAAAAAGTGTACCATCGTTCAAAGGAATAATTTGAGGAGGCGAACTCTTTCCAGAGTATTCATAGATTATTTAGGTTTGCATAATGCATATAGTTTCGACCAAAACCTGCTTACCAGTTCGAAGACTTCCTTCTTGAAATATTTTCAACGTCGATCAATAACTTAAACAACCATCTCTCTTTATTTTTTTTGTTCTCACAATAGATTAATTATGAAAATTGCTATTCATTTGTTCGTATATCTTCTTCAAAATAATCAATAGGAACGTAAATTCGTCGACAGTAAATCACGAAAACCTTCGTTTAGTCAGTAGATGGAAGAAGAATATGCTAGTCTGTCAATTAGCTGACAAATATAGTGTGCTACCTAGTGCAGGTTTGTCTATATTGTCTAGAGATGGAAGGAGCTGACGAGTCGACAGAAATTACTTTCATTCTCGGAGTGCTAGAAAAGTGGTGACCAAGAGCGAAAAGTAGGGGAGATGAGCAAAGAACGAAACTGACCGTGACTCGGTCTCTCACATAACAGATGGCCTGCTACTAGATCGACTCTCTCCCGAACCTTTCCTATTCTTCTTCACCTCACAATGATGTTATCTGCTTATTTTTATTTGAATTTCTGCCAGGTAAAGGCAAATGATGTTTGAATATTTGTCCTCTGTCCAAAGCTACCAAGAAGATCTAAAAATAAATTGGCAGCAAATATTTAAAAATTTTTCCATAAAGTCGAACATTTTCGATGGGAGAACTCCTAGACGATGAAATATCTACTTCTATGAACGAATGCATGTTCGAGGAAATTTTCCTCAATGTCTCGAGAAGTTTATGAAAAAATATTCTGTTTCGAACGAAACTTGTTTGGAAATTATTCTCTAAAAATGTTTCTTCAAAACTATTCAATCTATGGAAATTTTTCCTTTTACGACTGCTTAAAAATAGTATTATATCGTTTTCTAGAACCAATACTAGCTAATAGTACTAGACAGAACGGACAGTCTAGTGTAGAATTCTTTCACTTACTTACTTGAACGTTTTCACCATATACTAGCCAGAACCGTAACAACTATATCAGAATCTAGTCAATATGATATCGAACGGGTGATCCGAGACAAACAGTTGTTAGTATTATTTTTCCAGGATGATTTCATCACTGACGGTACTAAGATTTGCACGCAGTACCTTGTGAATAGGCGTCGAACAATCTAGCCATTTGGCCATTGATGAAAGAAATAGAGAATATGATAACGTGAACAGTTTCTATGGTTAGAAGACGATTGAGAATAATATATGAAAGAAAACGAGACCACTTTAGTAACAAACAAGCTAGTCTCTAGTCAGATTTTTTATCTATATTTGTGGTCAACAAACGAATTCAGAATAAGGCTTATTAGAATTGTTTATTTTCTCATTTTGTTTATTTTTTCTTCTAATTATTAATCTTCTTAAGAATAAAACGATTTGTGTTTCGTTTGTTTCTAGGTGATCGTCCATTGAAAGAATATATGCAAGAAGAAAATACTCAAGAATAACATTGATTTTCATCCAATATCCTTACATATCGCATTATTTTATTAGTAAACATATTTTATTTCAACATAATTATAAATCAGCTATTCAACATTTTCATTATGTATTGAGAAATTGTCTTGATTGAAAAAAAACGTGCTACTATTAAAAATAAGCAACAATCATTATTATATTTAGTTATAGTTAAAATGTTGACATGGTTCGACACCTAACAATGGATATACTTGAAAAATATCAATTAAATTAATTAATTGATTTAATTTAACCAATACCTATGAATTCATTTAAATTATTTATTGATAAACTAGAACAATATGAACAATTTCTATTTAATAATAGTTCATTTTTTTTAATTCAAAATTCAAAATTAATAACAATAAGATATTTATTTCGTACGTATGTTTATCAAATTGATCAACAACAAATCGATAAAATTCCATTAGAAACAACATTATTATTATCATTATTATTATTAAATTTTGCTTTTGAAAAAGAATATTTTTTTTTAGAATTAATCAGCTTATTAATATATTAAAAAGTCTGAAACAAAAAGGGATGATTAACGGTTATATATCATAGAAATTTCTAACATTAGTTATTAGTAGAAGACGACCCATTTAGAAAAAAATGTTTCCTTTTACTTCATTATTAAATAGGTAGGTTATAATTTGCCACAAATTGTGCTTCCCTAAATCAATCCCTGAATCGAGTCCCTATTTGTGGATACATGAAACCCTATCGTATATTCTGGTGACCAAATAGGGATTAATTTCTGGATCTTCTTTAGGGACCAATTTAGAGAATTGCAATTTGTGGCAAATGATAAACATTCGATATTCAATACTTACTTAGAACTTCGAGTATGATTATATGAACGGTTCAAGGCAGATATAAAAAATAAGGGATGCACATACCTTCAATATCATCCAATACTCTAACAGATACCTTTTTATACACTTCGAACCTTGGCATCCTCGAACGAGATCTGGATAAAGACGCACAGATGATTTCATCACTTTATGAAAAGCTCTTACTATTTGAAATCTTCCAGGTTTTATGTGAATTTTAATTAATGATAAGTGACTATATGTGTTGTAGATTTCTCGATTGCAATTGTTAACATAGATTATCCAACTATTATACAACAGTTTAGCAGAGATATTTACGAATTGTGTTTATGGATAATTTCCAGACTGGTCAAGATATTAATAAGATGAGTTGAGGGTGAATAAAGATCAGTCAGTATATTAAATATAATGATGAACACGAATGAGAAGATAACAATCGATAAGAAATGAAAGACGAAACGAGAAGAACTAGAGACATGTGACGACAAACTAATTCACTGAATGAAACGTTCGAAGAAGTATAACTATGAATACAAATAACTGAATGTAACGTAACTAGTACGATAAATCGGCGATACAAAAAGAAAAATGACATAGGAATAAATATAAGACACAATAAGAAGAAAGACAGAACATAGGTGATAAAGAGTGCCGTCAGAGGAGAAGGAGTCGACCGGATAACTAGTGACAGAACGGTGACCATCGGTCGGTACTTCACTGTTGCCATTGCATTGTTATAGGTGACCCGTTCCTCGCAAAAAATGTCCTCTTTCTCTCCAGTGATGTTCGTGGATTTTATTGTTTTTTATTTCTTACCGATTCCCTTGAAAAACTTCCATCTATCGCTCGTTCAATTCTGACATTGATATTGTTATATATAATGGATTTTTCTTGATAGAACGTTGATATCGTTTAGAATTTCAAGTCTTTTTATATATCCTATAACAAAATCAAGAATTTATTTTATTTAGATGTCAACCTACATTGAAAAGGTCCAACATTTGAAGATGTAATTGATGAATTTTCTCGTGAAAAAGTTTATGGTCATATTCAACAAAAATGATAATCGAAAATGAGATTATTTTTGTTCATGTTTATGAGTAAAAGATATTTATTGAATTTGTTTTATTTGTTTGTTTGTTAATATAGTATTGATTATGATTATGTATCGAAAAAGCGTTGATATTATATTATTTAAGAAAAATGTTAATGCCACCAATAAATAAAAAGTGATGTCTGTTCATATAAAACTTGTTCGTTTAGGTGAAGATGTTAAATACGAATGATCGAAAGAAACTGTTGAACATTATATTGAACATCAATGATCATCACCATCGAATTCAGTTCAATTTACATATGAATCGCGTCATCATCCTGTAAATATGCAACGTTTACTTTCAAATATGAATTAAAAGTATCTTTATTATTATCAAAATAAAAAAAAGACTTGTTGACTTCATGTGAAAAAAAAAAAGAAAGAATTGTTTTTTCTTGTTCATACACCTTTGCATGTCTTGTATGATCATTTTTTTTTCTAGTCTTATTATTGTGAAGAAAAAAAACGGAATATATTATTGTTTCTTACTTAAGAAAGCCACACCCTCATAACTAGATCAATCAATCTACTTAATTTTGTTTGTGATAACGATGATCTTTCTTTGTTTTTCTTTTTCTTCTAGATTTTCAAAGTGATAAGAATGAAAATTTTCGCTTTTAGAAAAAATTATTTGAAGTTGATTTCCTTATAGGAATATCAACGTTCAACTGGTCAACGACGTGCTCATAGAATAGGAGATAAACAAGTAAGATAAATAAATTGATTAATTCGATAAATAAAAATTTATTTATTGTAGAAAAAAAACAATATGAACCACCTGTCCCAACACGTATAGGAAACACGAAAAAAAACCCACAAAAGGATCTGAAGCAGATAATAAATTAGCAGAAGTTTTACCATATAGACGTTATCGTTTGAAACAACTATGTTTTCAACGTATTAAAGATAATTTATTATTAGAAGAAGAATTTATTAAAAATCAGCAAGGTTTAAAAGCACAAGAAGATCGCCATGATGTATAATTATTTCGTTTAAATATTAAAAAAACAACTATTATTTATTATTTTAGGAAGAACGTTCAAAAGTCGATGATACTCAGTATGATTTATTTATCAAAATAAGAAAATCACTAAAAAAGCAATAATAATCAACGAGATTTTTCTATTGTTATTCTTGTAAAAAATTAGATAGTGTATCTTTTTTTTGTAAAAAATAAATAGAATGTTAAGATTATTTCTAATAAATTTTAGAGGAAAATCTTGTTTATATTTGCTAGTGCTTCTATAATTAATCATTCCTTGTTTGTTTTTATTTCAGAGGATCACCAATGGTTGTTGATGCTTTAAAAGAAATTATTGATGATTAATCATCCTATCCGCTCAACATTATCTTACTATAATGTCTCAAGTTGATAAAGATCAACTTGAACTTGGATGTAGAGTTTTATTAAATCATTAAGTAAATAATTGATCTTTTCATTTAGATAAAACAAGAACTAATCTAATCTTTTAGATACATGCTCTTATCGGTCTATTAGGTGACGATGTTGATCCAATGGTTGCTGTTATCAAATTTGAAAAAGCATCAAAATAAATATAAAACAAATATTTAAAGTTTTTTTTTTTTTTTTTTTTTGTTATGAATTTATATATGCAGATATCGGTGGATTAACAACAGAACATTCAAGAAATTAAAGTAATATGAGAAATCTCTAGACGAATATCGAATTATTCTCTAATGTTTTTTTTTCAAAGGAATCTGTTGAATTACCATTAACTCATCGTGAATATAACGAATAAATTGGTATTAAACCATCGAAAGGTGCTATTCTTTATGGTCAACCTCGAACAGATATCTGACAAACTACACATCTACCAAACAATTAGAGCCTTTCTCTCTTATTTACATTGTTTTATCGTTTTGACTATTTGTCTCTCTCTCTTCGAAAGCTTGATTATCATGAACATGTAAAAAACGTGAACTATAAGTCAGCACTACTCCTTTGAAATTAGTAGATGATATAGGAAGACTCTCGTATGTATCGACATTTTACCATATGTGACCAATATTCTATGTAGATAAAAGATAAGCTAAGCATTGAAAAGAGATGATGAAAAGTGAAAGAGTTTGAATTTGATGGATGTCTAATGAGAATTGAATCGTTTTGTTTAATGATAAAATAAAATATCTTATAAAGGTAAAACTCTTCGTTGCCAAATCTGTAGATAATAAAACATCGGCAACATTTTAACGTGTAGTTGATTGAGAATTAATTGAAAAATATTTGCTAATTTAGATTTATTTCTTGAAGACAAAATAATTCATTTTTGGATGATAGTCCTCGAAAACTTGTACATGAATTATATCGTGTTGCTGAATAATATGCTTCAGCTATTGTTTTTATTGATGAAATTGATGTTATTGGAAGAAAACGGTATATTTTGTTTCTATTTATTTATCTAATAGAAACACATTTTAAATTTAATCGTTTTTATTTAGTTATGAATCAAATGTCGGATGATGAAAGAGAAATTCAAAGAACAATGTTACAATTATTAAATCAACTTCACGGATTTGATTCTCGTCGAGATATTAAAGTAAAAATTTAGTTGTTCTTTTCTTTTTTTTGTTTTTTTGATAAACAAAAAGTAATTTCGCTAGGTTATTATGGCAATAAATCGAATTGATAGTCTTTATCCATCCATCATTAATTTGATCTGGTCTGGTCGTATCGATCATAACAATTGAATTTCCACTATCGGATGAAAAAACATATCAAATGATATTTTAAATTCATAGAGATCGTATGAGACTTGTTGATGATCTTGATTTAGAATAATTAATTATGACTAAACAATGATCGTTAGTGGTGACGATATTAAACGTTAGTTTAAAATAATTATTTGTTTCTAAGAAGAATAGAATATTTACTTTAGGCTATTTATACGAAATCTGATTTAATGGCAGTAGAAGAACGTCCTATGAAAGCAACAAATGAAAATTTTCGAAAAAGTAAAGAAAGAGTATTTTATCGAAAAAATCAAGGTAGACCTCAATGATTCGATTAACAAAATCAATAACATTTAACAATAGGAAAAGTCTGCTGTTGTTTTTTTTTTCTTGTTATTTGATTAAAATGTTTTCGTTTTTCTATAATCTCATATTGGTTTTTATTCTCGAAACGAGAAAATAAGCTTTAAAATATTTCAAGACAACGGTGCAGAACATATTCGTTTAGTATAATTTACATTCGATTAATCGATCAAATTGATTAATATTAACATTTTTCTTTTCATAGAGTGAAATGTTATCTAATGATGTTATGAATATAGAAATTTAGATATTAAAAAATAATTTATTTATTTAACTTGATTAAGAGAATATTCTGATTAATATTATAATGAAGTGTTTTCGATCATCAGATATATTTTCAATATTATTTATTCTAATAGAATATTTGTCAACTAGTTCTTAAACTAGAAATTAAATCTTTGATATATTGTCTTATGTTGTTGATTGTTTTGTTATTGTTATGATAAAGACTAATATTCAATGGTTTGACGTTAATTTAGAATTCGTTTGGATATGAATAATCAATTTGGTGTATATCGATTCGAAGGTCATTTCATCTTCGATATCAGATCAGAGAACGTGCCCTTTAGCTACCACCTAGAATGATAACTTCGATCGTCGGAACACGGCAAATGACTTCATTAATTTTAACCGTAATCTGACATATTCCTTTACAATCGATTTTTTAGAGGCTGCTTGTTGAATAGGTTTCTGATCAGGTTTACCTGTTTAAATAAATCGGTTAAATAATAATTTAACATGACTATAGAGATTGATTTATTAGAATTTGATTATTGTCCTATAAATGAATGACGAGAGAGAAGAAATAAGTCTTTCGTTTTATTAAGATTATCGGTGGTAATATTGGGTTTCATTTCGAATATTAATCTTCAGTTGTTTATTTCAATCGATCGAGTCATTCATGAAGAGTTAAATCTAACAATTAATTGTCCCTGTTATTCATTCCTAGACACATTTTAATATTGTTTTATTGGCGTAGATCAATTTTGAAAAACATCGAGAAAAAACCTATAAATAATAAACTAATTTCTACTATATCATTTTTCTACAAACTTCTTTATAAATTGTTGACATGTCTTCATCATCTAACATATTTTTTTTTGTTTTTATTGATAATCATTCTAGAATATCCAATAAATAGTTTTAACAGTTGTCAATTTTTATGCAATTATTCAAAGATTAACTCTTTTTTGCGCTATAAAAAAAACGGAAATTATTCAAACGACTGATATTTGTTGGACGCTTAATTAAATATTTGTCCGGTATGAATCACATGGCTAATATTGAGATTTGCTCAGGACTTATAATTAAGTTTAAGTAAAACTATTCATCTAGGTCAATTATTACTAATCGTCGTTAATTATCTTAACACGGGCGTTTATACACCGTAGGTGGTCGCCTTTTCTGTCGACATGACACGTCTAGTACTACTTTATAGAAGAAAAACATCTCTATAATATTCTCATTATTAAGAATTTAATATATATTATGTATTATTTGCTTTCTGTGATGATTTATCAATGAATTAAATGTTATTAGTATATACTGTTTTTAATAAAAATACTCTAATGCTTGTTCTCAATGAAAACAAATCATAAACGATACTACTCTCACTTATGAAACTTATAGATCAACTAACAAAAAATAATTATAATAATTATCCTTTTATATATGTGACCATCATAGGTCAATCAACTTATTGCATTTGACCTTTACAATCGTTTATAAATCTTTAGATGAGAACAGATATTACTAAAGTATAAACAACATAACTAAAAAAACTCAATTATTTTTTCAGTGATGAACGATTGAATATTTACACTAGAATTTCTTATGAAAATAATCTCTTTCTCTCTCTCTCTCTCTCTATATATATATATATTAGAAATAATAAAGAACAAATCTAGTGATAATAAGATAGAGATGTATTTTATTTTTGTTTAATAATTACGTTGTGAACAAACAATGAGATTTTCGCCGTTTTTTTGTCAAGTGTCATATCTTGTTAAACATAATGAATTAATCAGATCTTTTATATTTTATCTGCTTGAAAACAAAGCCAAAAAAAAAGCATATTTTCTCTCTCGATATAGAAAAGTGTGAAAATCTTTCGTTACAGAAAACAAGTTACATGTCTAATCGAACTGTTCGTTAACACTTTTTACATAGATGATTTTAAATTGAAAACTCCGATTCGAATATATATTTGATTGATGACAAGGTTTTGGATTTTATTGAGATAATTCACATTAAATTTTACACGTTAAAATGTTCCGTATAGATTCATTAAAAAGAGAAGAGCATAATAAATAAATGAATATTTATTAATGCTTAAAACTGTTCTATTTAATATGACTTACGAGGGAACCGCCCGAAGTGATTCAAAGCTTTTAAGCCGTTATTTTGCCGATAAGTAGAGTCCAATGAGACTAGAAAAAACCCAAAAGGACAAGGGTCCATGGGCCTTCCTTCTCGAGTTATGGTCATTTTACTGGGTTTATCACCTATGATACGATATTCACCGAAAAATCAAATTAAGCAGTTTCGACCTGAAATTTTGCCCACATGGAGGTCTTGTGGCCCGTATATTAGCCTGAAAGTTTCAGGCAAAACGAAAGCGCCATTCTCGAGATATTGCAATCTCAAGAAAACAGTGCCATGTTGCATACATACCAAAAGAATCTACTTTTCTTGAAAACTTAATATTTCGAGAACAGTGCATTCGTTTTGGCTTAAATTTTCAGGCTAATATACGGGCCACAAAACCTCCATGTGGACAAAATTTCAGGTCGAAACTGCTTAATATGATTTTTCGGTGAATATCGTATCATAGGTGATAAACCCAGTAAAATGACCATAACTCGAGAAGGAAGG